ATATATGTATGTAGATTGGGTTCGCGCATTACAAACAATGTTGGAAGGAGCAGCTGAGGCTGAAAGCAAACAGTTTTCGCTTTGGACAAAAAAACACGCACTTATAATAAATTGGCACAAATGTGTGCTGTCATTTACAAAGGCCACAACATCTTCAATATACTTATATGGGGTAGGCCCAAGACCAATCTGTAAATACATCTATCCATCTCGAATATATAGCATGCATAGCCCATAACTAAGCGGCGGGCAAATGTCGTCGATGTGATTGACACGCCCATAAATGACAACAAACAATCAGCAGCAGCGGCAGAGGACAGTGGACAGAGGACAGACAGTCGAACAAAGGCAATGACAGGGCAAAGTAATAGAAAATATTTGCTATATGCTTCCATTACTCTCATAGGCAGTCTGGCTGCAAAAACTACTCGCACTCCAAGAAAAAACAAATAAAGCGAAACAAAAATCGATAGAACATTTAAGCAATTCGTGGATCTACTCGAGCGTCTAATTTTCAAGCGCCGCGCAACTCACGCGATTTTTCGGTCGTCATTGGCAAGGCTTGTCAGTCCGTCACTCCATCAGTCAGTCAGTCAGTCAGTCAGTCAGTGAGTCAGTCAGGCAACCGGTAAAGTTTAAAAGTCATGTCTGTTCTCTGGCACACGTAAATCCTTGCACACATGTGCACGTCCTCCAATAAGTGGGCGTGCATCGAAGCCCCAACCCGCTGCCCAACCGCTACCCGCCATGCCATCACAACAAAGGCACAATATTACTGAAAAAGTTGTGCAATTTTCAACTTTTTATAGGCACAAGGCTGCAAGGCAGGCTATAATTGCTATTTGTGGAAAAGGATATACTTAACGCTTTAAAATACAGCAGTACAGTTCTGAAATTCAATTGCACGTTTGAAGTGGACGTAAAGCTGTTTTTAAAATAAATGCCTCCTCTTGCTAAACACTTTTTTTTAATATATGTATACTTGTATATAAATGTAAAACTTTAATTATACTGTTATTATTTACAACAACTTAAGTTAAACTTAAAGAAAAATACAACTTAAACTAGGTGTTTAGTCTTATTTAATTATTTATACTTTATATAAATCTATTGGCGAGATTTAGCGGGGTGTGACCTCTTCAGCCTCCTTCTTACTAATCTCCTTCCTTTAAACACTATCTAGCTTCAAAATTAGTCAACAAACTTATTTAAAACGAAACTATAGTTCATTTTCCTAAAGAACAGTCATTTCGAAAGAAAACAAATTATTGAATTAGAGTAAATATATTCTTTTGAAACTATGCAGCTCTATGTACTTGTTATATATTTATTATATTAATTACTTTAAGGATCTTAAAAATTAATTTAAGAAATAATTAATAAACAATTTTTTTTTTTATACCTATACCCTATATTTAAAAGTTGAGCTCACTGGCCTCTAGCATGCGTTTCTTGTGTTCTTGTTTTGCTATCAATTCTAAGCGCATTTAAATTCATTTAATCATGACAGCAAATCACGTGATGTACAATGCTGTCAAATGAAGATCTTGGCCAAAAATAATATACAGCCAATTCCGTTTTTAAACGGTTTTGATTTAGCACGATTTGAAATTAAAAATGTTATATATAGTTGCATTACTTTATTCCATTTAGCACGATTCAAAATAACATATGATTAATGGCTTTTTTACACGACTTTTTCTGAAACCAATCTACCGTGTAAATACAGAATTAGGTGTATATATTACAACTAATCTAGACTGTTAAATTCTCTTATTCCGAAAGAAATGAATAGCAGCCGAGCCGAGTGCTTTTACGTCGAATGTGCCTGCAAAACTTTTCACTATGAAGTGAGCTTACAAAACATTTAAAATAGATTTCAGATAGTTACTTATCTAAACAATCATAGATTGTATAGATGAAACAGTGTGTTTTGCATATAAAATTAATAATAATAATTAATAATAATAATTAATAATAATAATTAATAATAATAATTAATAATAATAATTAATAATAATAATTAATAATAATAATTAATAATAATAATTAATAATAATAATTAATAATAATAATCAATAATCATTAAAAATATTCAGCATGTTTCGATTAGAGTATCTAAGCTGTTTTCATATTTTTGTTGTTCTTTTTTCAACACGATTTTCTTGTATTTTTACTTTCCCCCTAATAGTTCTGCTGAAGCTGAAGCTCTACCTCTGCTCCCTAATTTGGTAAGCCTTGATATTCGATAATTAAATTAATTTCGATCGATGCTATTACCCACTTCTGACAACGCTTGTAAGTACTCTGCATGCTCGTAATTCACACTTCAATTAGGGAGCCACTTCAAGGCTCTACTCGATGGTGGTGTCCATTGCCATGTTAATGAGCAACTAAGTAAACATGTATTAAAATCCAATATGTTGTCATTTATGTCACAACTTGCGTGACACGCACGCACCACAAAAAACAACCTTGACCCATTCTGCCAGCTAATGATATTAATTAGTCGATAGCCTGCCTTCCTTCCTTCCTTCCTTCCTTCCTAATTTCCACCTTTCTATATCTATATGGCCAGTACACACGCATGGCGAGAGTCGTATGGAAGTTGACTTGCTGGCTGGTCAGCAAACATTTGAACAAGAACTTAAGCCCTTTGCAAACACCCATGAAGTGCATTCAGAGTTGAAGTTAATGAGGCACTTGGAACGCCAATCAATAAGTCCCTGTCAGCTGAGCGAAGATACTTAGTTGCGAGCGTTGTTGGAAAAGTTTTAGAGCCTGAGAGCAACACATAGCGACTCGAGCTGACGTCTAATCAATTAAGCAGCACGCCCAGCAATATTGCAGTGCCAGAGGCGTTGTGCAATAAATTCTTTGTGCCTTTGTGCCCTGTCTTCATACACTCACGAAATTCAACGAATAATTCAAATACGTTAGCCATTCATGGCCAAGTAATACAAAAGGCTCGCCACAAAAGCTCCAGACTAAAGGAAAAAAAGAAGAAAAAGGTTAGTTCCATTTGTCTAAGGTTGACGACAGCGCCAGAGAAAAAAAAACAACAAGAATAAGGATGACAGTGGCTGCAGTTGCCGGTAGAAGGAAGTTCGTCAATCTGAAAGTCATTTTAGGGTAATTTGATAGTTGTTCGTGCTTGATGGCCTCGAGCTGCTGCAGGACACAAAACATGCTTCGTTTTAGGAAATGCTTTATGAGCTTCTTCAGAAAACTCTGAGCACAACAAATTTAATGTGAAATCAACGACAAGAAATGACGAATACTTAGGAACATGAATAGCAGTAGAGGGAGATGCGAGTAAGTCCTTAAGCATGATTAAAGGATATAATATTGGGTGACAATAATTTTGCTATACATAGTATAGCTCTATTGACAAAATCGGCTGAAAAACGCCAACTTATATGCCTCAGAAGCAAAACGAGGCTTTTAAAGTACACGCAATCCTGCAAAAATTCCTGTAAATGTGGAGGGGCGTTCCTGTTGGAGAAACTTCTTAAAATGGCGGCCAATTTTCGTTTACTTGAAGCTCGACTGCTGTAATTTACGTTATACTTAAATTTAATTCAACATTTTCGAAAGCATTCACTGAGAGTAGAATTGACTAACAGGGGAGAGCGGTATGTTAATGCGGACAGCGCTCTGTTAGTTAACAGAAGTCCCTAACAGCTGTTGGCTTTTGTTGCCTTTTTTAACATTTACAATTCCAAAATAAAGTACTGCGGTCAATCAACAAAGCTCATCCCCTCATTCCTAATCAGGACATGCATCACAGACGAAATAGACGAAAGACGCAGCACCAGATATAGGAAGCAGCTCTCTGATTACACAAACAGCCTGGCCATAACCCTTCTAGACAACAGCAGCATCATCAAAAGACTAAGACACCCATTAGACCTCTATCCTCCCTTCTTTAAATTCCGCTCCTTAAACATAATTATTGAGAATGTCTAGATATTATACAAAAAAATTTATGAAATAATTGATCATTTCAGATTTTAAAAATGTAAAAAAAGCGTTTGAAAAGTCCTCATCCAATTTATTTATATAAAAAACTAAGTTAATTTATCTGTAGAAAAATCAACTCTTGGAAGGACTTTGGAAAAGCCTTGGTTAAATCTTTTTTAGTGGTCCATTGTGTTGACTCATGCCTAAATCCAGGAAGAGATTCTATATCAAAATTTGTTTAATTCATTTATTCTCAGAAAAGAAAGAAAGAAATGAAAAACAGTCTAAAGAATAATTTCCCACCTGCTTTTGTCCAAACTGAAATGGACGCCCCTTGACTTATATTTACTTCTCAGACGAGGTATCAGATTTCAGCCGCCTTTTCTAGACCGTATCCTATCGTTGTTAAAATGTATTTAAAATTACTGGAACAATTGTGTCCTAACTTTTTTAGCATTTCATTGATTTCTTTTGAAACTAGCGTCAATAACAAATATGAATGGCGGTGTGCTTTGAATATTTATTGAAAATAAAATAATTTACTCTTGGAAATTATTCCTTCTCCTGCCTTAACTACACTTGTAGAACATAAAGGAGGAGTTAAAAATCCATTCTTAAGGGCTGCCAAGGCTTGAATCAAAAGCCCCAAACTATCGCGCAGGAAAGCTAACCAAGTCACTAACCTTTTTAGCAGTTTAAGAACCTTTTCAAACACTTCAAACTAAATTTAATTTAATTTAATTGCTAGGTGTAGTCGTTTGTTTCTCTATATTACTTATAGCTGACGCGTATATAAAGCGTAGAAATATAGCTGAGTCATATTAAAAAGTTTGGCGAAATAGTTTCGGCAACAAATCAAATTATTGCTTTAACGAGCGTTTAATGGGTTAACCCACAATCCATATGACTATTTATTCATTAATAGAGCTCGGCTACTAAACAATACATTTTAAGCATTATTATTATGCGGCCTAGAACTACTTACTTATGTATTTTCATTCACAAAAGCGGTATTTTGTTTTGGCTGGCACACTTACCATGCTCAATTGTCTCCTTGGCACAGGATATTATTTTGCCTTTGCGTCTTCGCAGATTCGACTCAAAATTGTTGTCATCGGTGAAATCATCATCGCCAGCAGCCGCTGCGCCGCCATCCAAGGCACCGGCATCCTCGCCAGCTGTTGTTGTCGACTCCGGCACCTCCTCCGACGACTGACGCTCCGACGAGGCCTCACCGCCGTGAATTAAACTTTCAAAACTTTGCCTCATATTCATTTCCCTTTTCAGCTTTGTTTTTGCTGTGGCAAATCTTTTTTTTATTACGTTTTCCTTCTTTTTCGATTGTTGTTGTTGTTGTCGTTTTGTTTGCCTCAACTTTTATTATTACTTTTCGTTGCTGTTACTGTTACTGTTGTTGTTGTTGTTGTTTGTGTTTTGTTTTGACAAATGGCTTTTAAAATTTTTATTAATTAGTTTTCTCTTTTTGTTGATTCATTTTGGTTTTTGCAACTATCAGACTAGACACCTATTGCGTGTCCTTCCTATGCCCATCATTAGTCAAATTTTATGATCGCGCAATATAATACTAAGAGAGTCGCAAATTATGCTTAAACATGCCAACACATCCGTGCGCCTCTTTTCTTTTTTTTTTGGCAGACAGTCAAGTTTTGCCGGCCCCTAAATGTTCGTGCATGTAATGCAAATTCGAAAGCCATTTAACTCTCAATTACACACACAAATTTGTCGGCATACATACGTTTTTTGGCAAAGCGGAGAATACTTTCTATAATCGTTTTTAGAAACTATCAGCAGCTACAAGCAAAAGAGCTAATATTAAGAGTTTAATTAACTATATTTGGGAATTATTTGTTGTTATCAAAGAAGGTGAACTTAAAAAACAATTGAATTTATGAAGTGCCCATAGATATTAGCAGAATTACTGAGATAAACTAATCCAAAAAGAATGCTTAAATTGCTTAATTAAAACCTGTTTGAAATCATACAATTGAAAAGGATTCGAAATTGTATTCGTTCTCACTCACTGAAATTAAGCAATATTGCAAATATATGTATGTTTATGTATGTTCATAAATTTAATTAAATTGCACACACACCCGCAGATTCCCACTTATCAGCGTAAATCAATCATGCCGCCTACTTTTTAATAACAAAAGGAGAGCCACAGATGACGCAGGAAACTCATTCAGCTGCCAAGTTTATTTCAATATCGAGCAGTAAAAGCCCGCAAACGTAAAAGGAAAAAAATTATGTAAATAAAATATTATGGAAGCTACGTGCGTGTGAGAAACGCAGAAGCTCGGAAAGAGCATAAAAAATAAGCTGAGGCCAACACGCAAGCACATGAACAAATTAAAGAAAACACTTGAGTCTAAACTTTGAACAACAAATGAAGGAATGACGTGAAGTTGGCTGAGAAATGCCAACGCATGGCTACCGGCTGCAGCAGTAACATAACAACAACAATAACTAGCAGCTCACATACATACATACTTATACATGTATATGGCTAATGAAATGAGTAATAGGTGGGGAAAGAGCGGCTGCGTCTATTTCCGTCCTCAGCACCAAAATATATCTCCAAAAGCGTCCTCTGAGGGTTGTTGCTGCAACAACAGCAGCTTACAAATGGGTTCAATGTGCGTGGGTATCAAGATGGAAAAAGAAACACTTGAACAACAACAATAACAACAACAACAAAACCTATGCCAAAGGTTGAAATTCAAACAAATTTACGAACAGCTCGGTAAAAAATATATATGTAAATAAAAATGTTATTAACGATCGTTACTATTTGAGCAACTAACTTGGCTAACTGAGCTGAACTGTCTCGCTGCTTATTTCATAATCACTTGCATTATTTAGGTTAAACAATCACACACACACACATACACACATACTCGTAACATTCGCTTGGACACGCAATGCATTTTTATGGCAAAGAAAAAACGTAGTATGGTTTTGTGCGCCGCATTAAAATTACTTTGCCATCGTTCCACTGCTTGAATTTATAACTGCTTTACTGCTTATTTTCTTAGAATCACACTAACTTTAACTTAATTAATTGCTAAACTAAAATGTCAAATGTTCGAATTGCGTTGGTTATTTCTTGTTTCTTTGCGTTTAATGCGTTTTGTGCGTCCGCACGTTCAGCGATGCCGTCAGAGACTGGCCAACAATTTCAAAGAGCAACGTGCACTGTGGTGAGTTTCTCTGGCTTATCGATTTTGTTCTTGTTGTAAACGCACGCAAAGACAACAACGGCAACAACAACAGGCGTAGCCATGTGGCCGCAAACACACCCCCAAAATACAATAATTCGTCGTAGTAGTAGTATTAGCAGCAAAGAGCAAATTCGTAACTCCTTGTTGTTGGATTTGTGTTTATATACGCGAGCCCCTTTTGGGCCCCAAACAGCCCAACAGTCCGTCATACGGCGGCAGACAGTTGGACACGTTTGCTGGGGCTTTGGCCATGGGGCAGCAAACTCGTACAGCATGCAAAAAGCCGGCTTCAAAAAGCCAAAGTCAAAGTAAGAGAACGGCAGCACAAAGAGAGATGCGAAAAAAGTGCAACAAGAACCTACTATAACCACGTATGTATACCACGAAGTCTAAATACTCTCCATATATGTATATTTAAATAGCATTTTAAGCAGATTAAGTGTAACATTATATACAAATCAAATGGTTTACAATCTAAAATACACATTTTAATGAACACATAAACAAATTAAAATATAATATATTTACAGATTTGCTCTTAGTTGCCGATCCAAGGAACCGTTTGGCTCACCTGTTCTTCTTTTTTTTATATGAGGAACTGGCTTGCTGAATTATAGTCACCGTTATTTAAGCTTTACCTTTATCCTTAAAATTGTCCCTTACACTAAGGCAAATATTTTATACCGTTTTATTTCAAATAAAGCCACAAATTTTAAAATACAGCAACCGCTTTTATTTTTCTTATTTATTTGCTACAGGAAGCCTCAGCCATTTATCTATTCATTTATTTAATAATTGGTTTCAAACCCGCCTTAATTAAAAAAATGTAGCATACCATACAGGCGCAAAAATAAATGCAGCAAGGTTGCAAACCATTTAGCACATTGGTTTAAAGACCGGCTGCGGAATGGTTTGAAGCCCGGCTGCCAAATTGGTTTGAAGCTTGGCATAAAATTTAAAAGCGCCCTCTTGCTGCTGATTTCTGTTCGCCTGGTACTTCAGATTTTGAACATTGTCATTTGCAGGCGATTTTATAAATTTTACGAAAGCCGCAGCTGCCCTTCGCTTTCGTTTGCAAACTGGCACCTTTGCTACGTACCAGGCGAACATAATGCAGCAACAAGATGATTATTGTTAAAAATTTAAAAATAAATGTAAGCCAGGTTGCAAACCATTTGGCACGTTGGTTTGAAGACCGGCTGCGAAATGGTTTGAAGCCCGGCTGCCAAATTGGTTTGAAGCTTGGCTTAAAATTTAAAAAGCGCCCTCTTTCTGCTGATTTCTGTTCGCCTGGTACTTCAGATTTTGAACTCTGGCATTTGCAGGCAAATTTACAAACTGGCACCTGCCAAATTGATTTCAAACATCCTTTAAATATCAAAAATGAAACAACATCTTTCCGTTTTCGTTAATGTTTTATTATTAAATGTCTGTAATACATTTTGTTGTATTTTAAAATTGAATCAGGTGGCATATCTTATGCATATTTCGGGTTATAAAAGGTAGTCGTTGTGGGTTTGAAACGTACGCAACAGCAATTTTGGTGTGTTTAAAGTGTTGTTTGAAAATAATAATGTAAGAGAATGCATTCTTTTGCATTATTTGTTAATATTAGCATTCTATGATATGCTAGGCTTATAAACTAATTATTCTTGCGGCAAAGCGGCGCTCTCATGTTTCCGTCTACCACTCCTCTTCCAGTTCCAAGTTGACCGCGCATCCGCCAGACTGTAACGGAAACAAGAGGATATATATATTTTTCGGTCGATATGAAACTATATAAACAATTTTGTGGCTTCACAACCATTACCTTGCCGCGCACGTCGAGGCCACCGAAAGCGGAGCCGCAGCCGCCGTCAAAGCCGCTACCAATTTCCCGTAGGAAATCGGGCACCGGTTGCTTGGCGCCCTCAAGTATCTTGATGAGCGGACCGGCTAGAGCGCGATCATGATCAGGATCAAAGAACGAAGTGGCACGTCCATTGTTGCCCACGCGTCCGGTGCGGCCAATGCGATGAACATAATCATCGATATTTGCAGGTAAATCATAATTGATGACATGTTTGACATTCTTGATGTCTACGAGAAGTGGATGGGATGAGCGATATTATTAAAATCTAACAAATTAATCGATAATCACAAATTATTTACCCAATCCACGGGAGGCGACTGAGGTGGCGATGAGAACTTTCATTTTCCCCATTTTAAAATCCCTCAACGCCTGCTCCCGTTGGCTCTGCAATCGATCGCCATGAATAGAAGTTGTAGGGAACTCGGTCTCCGAGAAAAATGAAGCCAGAAAGTCCGCACCGCGTTTAGTCTCCACAAAAACGATTGTACCATCAGCACCATCACGCAATATTTCCTGAAAAGTAGGATACGGGGAATATTACAAATACTGCGGAAAAGCATTATCATTTTTGGATAATATATTTGGATTTATCCACAATTTTAAATAGTTTTTAAATGTATTTATTTCCCTTGCCTAAAGCCTACACCCAATCAATAAATAATGCTGTTTGTCTATTTAAGCGATTCTGTAATGTTTACGTTCGAAAATGCTAAGTTATTCTCTCGTTTATTTTAGTTTTTTATTTATTTTACCCACCACCCCAAAGGGTTCATTTGTTTGAACAAGATATTCCCAAGAGGTATATGAAGTAGAATTAACAAGCTTCGTACACATATTCCTAAGTCTGAAACAAACAATATAATAATATATGAAAAGCATGTAACAGTCAAAGACAGGATCGATCTGGATATTTCCCCTCGTCCGGTCGCCACGACGTCTGTCTATATGAACGCCTGAGTTTCAGAAACGGCTTCATCCGCATTGACCAAACTTTGTAAGTAAATTCTACTACACCCTACGCAACACAAGTTATTTTATATTTTTGATTTCCATCCCCTTTCTTGCCACATATGCAATTATCTATAATTATTTAAACGGTTAATCCTTTTAGGGAAACAAACTAAGGGCATTTCTACGATTAATATGAGGAAATGGATACGAAAATGGAAATCTAAACACAAGTGTTTAATGGTAATTCACTCTTTCCTACTCACCAATAGCTTGGCACGCTTCTTGAACTTGGACACCTGGTACAAAGTCTGCTCCACATCGGAGCAGGCGCCACCGACGACACCAATGGTCACAAATACGTAATCCTTGAGGAACTCACCGGCCATGCGCTGAATCTCTTCGGGAAACGTGGCCGAGAACATGAGTGTCTGATGCTCCGGGCGCATGGTGATATGGGTCATCATTTGGCGCATGCTATCAGCGAATCCCATGTCCAGCATGCGATCCGCCTCATCGAGGACAACGAAACGTGTATTCGTGAATGTTATAAAGGTACGATTAACAAAGTCAAGCAAACGTCCCGGAGTAGCAATGAGGACGTGGCACCCCTTGGTGATCGAATCATTCTGGTGCTTTACAGAAGTACCTCCATAAACAATAGCTATCTTCAAATATGAAGTGAATGAGAACTTCCTAGCCTCATTATATATTTGAATAGCTAGTTCGCGTGTTGGCGACATGATAACAGCCAACGGTTTACCAATTTCCATACCGATATTTTCTTCTAAGATATAGCTTAGAATCGGTAGCAAAAATGCAGCAGTCTTGCCCGAGCCCGTCTGGGCGCAAGCCATCATATCGCGTCCAGCCGAAATGATGGGAATAGACACCTTCTGTATAGGTGTTGGCACCTTATAGCCAGACTTGGTCACGTTCTCGCTTATAATGCCGCGAAGATTGGCTTCGCTAAAAGCCTTAATAGGAGCTGGCACATTTTCGCCAGTAACCTAGAAAATCCAAAAATATTATGAAGTATATTAGCTATATAATCGGAGAACTATTAAGGGCTATAAATGGTGGGAATAATAACCAAATAACCTAACATATTTTTAACCAAACATTGCTATATTTTACAGACCTTTTTTATAATACCAATAGAATTCTAAATCTTACAAAAGCTGGTCAAAAGCGCATTTAGTTTATAGCGCTTTGAAAAAAGCTATATATTCCGGAAAATTATATCGAGTGTTCAATAAATGTTTGTGAACAGTGAAGTTAAGTTGTTTTTTATGATCTTCAAAGAAAATCGTAGATATCTGACTATATAATATTATATTGAAGACACACATTGATATCAAATGTTGCTGCACAAACGAAAAAACATTCTGTATTCATCAAAGATACATAAAAATCATTTAAATCCAAAGATATCTATTGATTTTCCTAGAATCATTTTATCAATAAGTTTCATTTCTTATTTCGAAAATGTTTCATAAAAGGAAACCCTTATTTATTGGTTTTAAAAGCTCGCACTCACCTTGACTGGTATATTATCGTATTTGCCAAAATTAATGCCCGAAGAAATACCGCTACTGAAGACGTCAGACTCTTCATTAGACGGATCCGGCGGAATGTAGAACTCGCGTGCCTTGCCGCCATCCTCCTCGTTATTATTCAAATCATTGTCACCATCACGACGACGACGACGATCGTCACCGCGTTCTTCGCGGTCCCCGCCGCCATCACGATCGTCGCGATCTCCACGATTGAAGCCGCCGCCGCCACCGCCTCCAAACCCACCGCGACGCTCTTCACCTAGATTTTAATTATTTTCTTACGTTATTTCTTTTTAAAGAGTACAAATATCATTAACGTACTACACACAAATACACACAAATACTAGATACAGTAGTAATTTATTACAATACATAGCAATAAAAGGTAATGAGAGGTTTGCAAAGAAACTCTTAGTTAAAAGCATTTCTAAATGCCAGGCAGAACTTTTTCCATACCTGTATAAAACATTATGCGTTATAAAAACTGATTTATAAACTTGACATTCTTAGTCTACAGCAATTTGGAATGTTTTATAGGCAGTAAGGTTCCAAGCCAAAGAATACAAAGAGATGTATGATCTCATTTTATCTGAGAGTCTTCAGAAAGGCACAGATTCTTAAAGAGTATTATACTAGCTTGGCTTTAAACAATTTAAATGTATACAATAAAATGTTAAAAAATAGGACTGAATTCAAACATATTTCACAATAAAACCTATTCATTTCACGAATCATGAATCAAGCACGATAGAAACTTATGCTCTATTAAATGAAATTATAAAGATCGGAAAATGGTTAAGCGCTCGTTTTGGAATGAAATTATAAAACCATCGAGACACGCCCATCGCTGCCAGTTGTAACCAAGCCAGCTGACTTAAGTTCGCAAATCAGTTGGTTGGCTGCGATCGCATCGGTACGGCTCTTTATGAAGTCGACCCGACGCAAGTCTACCGATGGGCAACGAATTATGGCGCCAATAAGGGCGTGCATTACACACAACTTTTGCGTATCCATGTGAATCAGTAATTCTGGATCATAGCTGGGAATAGAAGGCAAGCTGCAGTAATTTGTAGGCTTGGCATCCGACGAGCTGCTCGGCTGCATATAAACCTGTCGCTCGTTGTAATTGGCCTCCTGGTCTAACATCACACGCAACATATCCACGTTTTGCGTTATAAAGCTCAAATCCTCGATATTCTCGCGATAGAAATGATCGTTGTTGAAAAGATTCTTTGGCATATCGCCCCCGTCGCCTTGTATTGCTCCTGCGATTGTTTCCGTGGTTCGCAAAAGTGATGTCGGAGAGGGGCATATATCCATGGGCGCTGCTGCTTGATGCAGACATAATGGGTCCATTATATCCCCCATGGATATGGAGATGCTCGCACTTGGCGGCACCACTGGTGGAATTGCTGTTTCTAAGGGTGTTGTTGTTGGAGGAACTGCACTTGGCTGTGGCGCATCATTTACGCTGTAGTTAGCCGGTGGCTCGCGTATGACCTCCACGGATGTTACAATGGGTCGCTCTGGACGCTCGCTAAGATTGGGTATTGCAGCTGAAGTTGAAACACCCTCCTCCAAGGTAGGGACAGGTAGGTACTGATCGATGTCCATGGGCATGGCTGGTGCTGGTGCTGGCGCTGCTGAAGCCTCGCCTTCTCTTTGTAATATGCTGGCGAGAAACTCCAATGTCTGATGACGTTCGTTTTGTTGCGGCTCGCCTTCCCGGGCAGCAAGTTCCGTTCGCAATTGGCTGCGTGCTCGCGGTCTGCGTCTTCGACGGTTTTGTTGAGTCGGCGCAACTTGTCCTTGATAGTTTGCCAGCTCGTCACGCGGTCGAAAAATGCTTTCCCAATTGCGGGGAGTGCTCGGTAAGCCTGTTCGAAGTGGCGACTGTGTTGGCTGTGGCTCTTCTTGTGGCATATCCACCTGCAGAGAATGTGGCAGCGGCAGTGAAGGTGTTTCAGTTATCTCTACCACAACATTTGAAGCAGCTTCCCCGCCTATTTCTGGCAATTGACCTTCAATCATTGGTAACTCTTCCTCGGTCATTTCAAGCATTCGCCCTATGGTATGACGATCAGCTTGCTCCTCGTGTATGGCCGCCAATTTCGGACGATAGGATAACATGGGCGTTGAGTTCGCGAGCGCCGGAAGGGAGCGCATCAGCACTGTTGAAGCTTCCGGCGTGTCCAATGACAAATCAGCTCCCAACGATGGCACTGGATTGTCCATTGCCATTTCTTCTACGTTGCTGTGTAGATGTGTCGCCGACGTTGACCTTATGAAGCTGCGAATGTTAGTTATGATGGCTGTGAGTTGTTTAATGCAAAATACTGATAGCAACTGGAACTAAATGAATAGAATGGTCTTCGAATACATATAAATGAGTGTAAGCTTCCTAACAATTCAAAAAAGGCTAATTAAATTACTAGAATAATTAAATTACTGCTACAATCAGCATACAAAGATATGCTTTAACCGCTTCAACATGTTCAACATTTTAACTCTTTTTTAAGCAAACATTAGATAACAATATTAATTGTTAAACTGACATTCGCCGGTCTTGAAAACAAGATCGTCAAAACTTTACCTAAACACAAAAACTATATGACCGTATTAAATTAGTTTTGGCTCTTTTAAAGATAGGAAAAATACAGATCAACAAAACGAAACAACTCATTAGTCTGTAAATATTTTGGAAACTTGGTGTCCTGTAGATTTTTATTCAAAACGATTAAGAAACGTTTGCTTTTCAAATAGACTTCTAACATCTGGACTTAGGCACCATTCGAAATAAACCTTATAAGCCTTTTCCATTCATTTAGTTCCAATTTAGTAATTGTTGTTAACTTTGAAAAGATTGTCTATTATTGTATAAGTTGTCCTGAAGAGTAGCATTTGCATTGAGAGTAAGTTGAAAAATAAGAAATATGATGTTAAAAAAGAGACAAAATTAAGTGCCAAAATTAATTTTATGTGTTTTTCTCCACATCTTTTTTTGTTACACATCCTTTCTTTTTTTTTTTTTTTTGCTTCAGTCGGTTATGGTTATGCGCGCATGCAATTAAAGTCAAGCGATTTGGAGGCATAGAAGGTAAGTCAAGTCAGCTAGAGAGATATATATATAATATAGTTTAGATATTACTTAAGAATTATCAGTGAGGAGAGGTGCATGCGAATTTAACTGTTAATAAGATTATACCCATCGTTAGTATGTGTTAGGGGAGTAGTTGGCAACGAGCGTACTTCTCCAGGCGTTGTCATCATCACATCCTCTCCAGCACTGCTAACTCCTCCACCACCAGCACGTGAATAGTTCATTAAACCGCTCCAGGATGCCGCATCCTGTGCAGCATGACGGGCAGCATGGATGAGACTGCTATTGCTCGTAGTGGCATGGCTCGACTGACTGCGTCTTTGCGACTGTAGTTGCTCCCGTCCTACATTCCACTCCATGGTGATTCTGGCCAGAAATGGCAGTGGCAAACTATTCGGCTGTGCCAACAGTTTAGGAAATTGCTGCCTACGCATTCTTGTCCTTGACATCATTTGAATCTCAGTTGCCATTGAGTAGAAATGTAGGGGCCTTGGTTCACGCAAATGCATAAATTCTTGGCTCAAAATCCGATGTCTTTGTCGTGCTGCCGGCAGAAATATCGGTGTTGCAGTTTCTGTTATTGTCGCATCAGGCTGTTCGACTTCCGTGACAGGCAAACCATGTGAATAACGCTGACAATTGCGCGAATAGAGAGCTAAAATTTCACTCAATTCGTTATCAATGCTTCGTGGCGCAGTACTGCGTCGCACAGTAGTTCCATCTTGCGTTCGGCGTGGGGGCCTAGGGATCACAAATGAACTGGCAACACCCGTGTCCTCAGGCAAGGGCAACGGCTGAATGGAATCTTCTTCTGGCTCTTCCAAAGCCACCACTTCATTAGCTGGAGCCACATAATCCTCCTGAAGCAACCGATTGACCTCGACCAGTATGCGATCTGTCGGCATTGCATTAATGGCTGCTGTACGCAGAGCACGTTCCCGTTTCCTGTTCTTATCCTTCTCCTCAGTCTCCTGCAGTTTTGTCCATTCAGCATTGACGTGATGCTGATAGGCCCTTAGAAGATATTTACGGAGCTCACGAGATTTATGCACTGTGCTATAATCGCGTATGTTAAGCTGATCTATGAACGCCTCCACAGTATCCTTATCATAACTGCTGGGCAATTTCAAATAATTGGGCGACAACAGCTGCACATCATCCACTAGATAATTATTGACAGCAGTTTGCAGGACGAAATTCAAAACAAATAGACAGGCTACATAATTGACAAGCACACGCATATTAACTCACGCACAATAGGACTAAACAAATGCATACAAAATATACATATAAATAGCAACATTGTTGGTATATACTTGTACTATGCAGGCTTATGCTGAAAAGCATTAGAGTTGGGTGCGCAGGAGTGTCTTTCATAAAGTTTTTATTAACTGTTTATGGAAGTGTTTTCGCTTTCAACCCAATTGCAAGCGAGCATCTCTTACAAATTGGTTGAAATGTGTTGAGCAGAAGTAATTAATTGAATAATTGATTATATTCGGTCTAAATTGTTTAAAAATATAAAATAAAAATTATGCGACCGATTTTTCTGTCATTATTCTTATAGTTCTTTTGATTTAAAGATCTGAATTTGTAAAGATAAGGCACTCCCATTGCAAGTTTACATAAAGTTCAATTTTAAACAAACGTGCAAACTTCTGAAATAAAGCCGCCACAACTCTAAAGTACAGTCTGCAATCGAAAAGCTAGCTACTTACCGTCATTGTCGTAGTCGCGACGGCCACGATTGCCACCGCCATCATTATCGCGACGATTACGAAAGCCGCCGCCGCCGGCACCGCCAGCAACGTTGTCGCGTCCTCCGCGGTAACCACCGCCTTCGTTGTCGCGTCCTCCGCGGTAACCACCGCCTTCGTTGTCGCGTCCGCCGCGAAAGCCATCGCTACGGTTGTCGTGTCCACCGCGATAACCACTGCCGCGACTTCTGTCGTCGCGGCGACCCCTGCCATTCCGATCGCCATCACCGTCACCACCTTTGTTGGTGTCCTCCTCATCATCCCAGCCCAAAACTTCCTTGGCCGGAGCCGGGGCCGCTGGCTTACTGCACCAGCCATCATCAGTTGACTGCAACAAGGCAAAACAGAATCCACGCAACCCTGTTTAAATGTACGTTTCATTTACTCTTTGACGCTTCTTACCTTTTCGTCCCAGTCAGACATCTTAAAGCAGCGTTTGCGTCAGCGTTTATTTAACTGCAATTTGAAAAAAGCATATAAATAAAAACATAAAAAAATTAATGTACAAAAAAAATAAAATAGCTTAATTGGTTTTTATTTTTTTATAGCTTTTGTTGCATCTAAATTATTTTAAAAATCAAATTACTTGTAAAAAATGTTAATTCAAAGTCTTTTCTTTACAGCTTTCAGAGACCACAAATAATTTAAGAACATCCGTCACACACATAAATGTCTAAAATCCAGGGAGCAAAAACAGTTATGCAATTGCAGCTGGCTGCAAACGTAGCGCCAATATTAAACGTAACGGTAAACAACAGCTGCTTTTGCCTTCAACGCGGCCATTTTGCATATTAAACACAGCAAGTTGCCACTCACCGTAGCCAACAAACAAGCACAGCGAGTAACCAAACCAGCGAGTCACCGCTAAAACGTGAGTTCTCTGTTTTTCTATGTATACCACCATGCTTTCTGCTGCTGCTTCTTCTTCTCTTGGTTTGGCATGTGTTCTAACCACACTATATCCACACATGTGCGCGTTTGTGTGATTGTGTAGGTATTACTAAGCACAAGACGGACGAGAAAATACACAGAAGAGGCCAGAACGCAGAAAAATTAAGGTTAGAGTGCAGCACACGACGGTGAAGAAAAAGAAATAGTAAAAGAAGAACGTATATTTTATTCTATTCTTTCGACACCACTCATACACATACACACGAACGTCAAATACATACAAACAGGCGAGAAGAAGCAGAGGAGGAAAGCAGCAGCGAGACCGACCGACACACGAGTTTTCATTCTGCATTTTTTGACAGAAATCGGTGTGTTTGCATAAATCGTGTGTGAAAAATCAATTGCACATCGAGTAAAATTTATAATAGCAATTGCAAAAAACATACATAGCAGCCATTATGGATAGCGCCGGGAAAAATCGTTATGAACTTTTGTTCATGGACGATGATGTTAGCGATCCATTAGATAATCTGGTGGCGGCCAAGAAGAAGCAGCCAGCCGCAGCTTCGACGTCGTCGTCAAAAACGGCGGCAACAACGCCAGCGAACGCAAAGTCGACAACCAAATCACACCAACAAAATGCTAAGAAACCAAATCAGGCTGAAAAGGAAAACAAACCAGGTGCACTGAATAAAAATGATGGCAAAAAAAATTTGACTGCTGGCGGCGCTGCTGGTGACAAGCTCAACAACAACAACACTAAACAAGGTGGGGCTGGCGCTGGAGCTGTGCGCTCTGTCGGCGGCAAGCAGCAGCAAACACGTGAAGGTGGTCAAGGGCAACAGCAGCAACAACAACAACAGCGCAATGTCAATTTTCGCCAACAGAATGGCGAAACGCGCGAACAGCGCAACAATCGTCGCAACGTGCGCGAAAATGGCGCTCCCGGTGGCAGCGCTCCTGGTGAGCGCCCCTATCGCGGCGGCGCTGGTGGCGATCGTCCACCACGTAATCGCAACTTTGATGGAAACAATCGCAAACGTGAATTTGATCGTCAATCTGGATCTGACAAAACTGGTGAGTTTCAAAACTGAATAATTATTAAAAGTCTCGCAGAGGGGGGAAGGGAAGAGGGGATGCTGCGTGAATTATATGTAATATAAATACCATACCGCCCACAACAGAACATGCGTTTCAACATGCAGAGCTGCGGGCAGCTCTAGTTAGCAACAACAAACAAAAATAACAACGGCACAAATTTCTCAATCTTCTCTACTTTGCTGTTACCTTCCGCTCACGTGTGTGAGGGCGCGATCGCGTTTTTTTTCGACGACTTGTTGAAAAGAAAGAATGGGATAGGCTCAGAACACTTTGAAAATATAAACAATTCCAAAACCAAAAATTGTGGGTTTTTTAAATGTTCAATGAACGACTTGGTTTAAAGTTCAATTTCCTCAATGCATTGGAAATACTTTTCTAAGTTTAGCATAACCTTACAAAGATAGTGGCTCTTAAGAACTTAAGCGCACTCATGGGTCGACCTAGTCAAGTCATCAGAAGAATATCATCACCGTCGTCGTCGTCATAATCGCCACCGCCATGCGTTTTATGCGCGACGACGACGGCGGCGCGGCAGTGATGGGGCGGCGATCGTGTGGAATATTATCCAAAATTAATATCGTGAACAACTGCGGCATTGCCGGCAACGGCAACAGTTGCTCGACCAGCACCAAACGGCCAAAGAAAATCAAAGTAGAGACAGAGGAAGGCGGCAAGCGCACCACGGCACACGCACATTCAAAGAAATTTGTATAGAAACGTAAAATGTTTCACAGTTTGAAATGTTTAAAAATAGTTTAGTTTGCTTCTTCTTCTGGCCACAACGATAGCGCCAATGGCCGCCACATCGACGGCGACGACGACAACGACGATGATGTTGTACTTTTAGTTGGTCTCCTCCCTGTTGTTGTTGTTGTTGTTGTCGTCGAGTGGGTAGCAGGAGGAGGTGCAAAACATTTCACACATTGGTAAATCCCTATAACATGCCATTTGTTTGTAGGTATACAAGTTGGGAGAAGAGCACAGTTATTGCATCTAAATCCATGCACACATACATACATACATATGTAAATACATGCATTAGGATTGCTGATTACTGAAACGATTGCACACACACATACACATTTCCCATGCCGTTTGAAGGCGGCAGCTTATCTCCAAGTGACCAAAGCCACGTGCAAACAACAAAGAGTGATCCAGTTTACACACGCACACACACACATACATGCAAGTCATGTATAATATATATATATATATACACATATATATTCAGAACATAATTGGCGGTGCTTGTTGGCAGCGGGTATATAGATAAGAGCAGAAACCGGCAAATGTTTGAGCACAAGCTGTGAAATTGTTTAATGAAATCAAATCAATTTAAAACAAAATTGTGAAGCTAACGATGATGCGAGCCTTTTGGATTCATAAAATATCACTAAAAGAACCGAAAACTACAAAAAATGTACGATTTGTACAGAGTTAAAGAATAACTTACATGAAGCACAATACAAATTATCCGCGAGGTCGTCCTTAAATCGGGCAAATCTAAAATAAATAGAAAGCATATTACATATTTAATGTGGTATATAAAAAGAGTTTCGAAAATCATATTTATTTTAAATATATATTTATTTTCTTCGCAGGCGTTAAGGCAGTCGACAAACGTGATGGCGCTGGCGCACACAATTGGGGCTCCGTCAAGGAGGCCATCGATGATGTGAACAAAAACAATGAGAGCGAGACCAGTGTGAACAATGCGGAAGGCAAGGCCGATGAGTCCGGAAATGAACAGCAAAACGAACAAGCACCCGTCGAGGAAGAGACCAAAGAGTTGACATTGGATGAATGGAAGGCACAGCAGCAGCAACGCATTAAGCCCAAGTTCAATATACGCAAGGCCGGTGAAGGTAAGCGATGAACTCATTTGATATTAGGGGAGGGAAAGACCAGATTTAAAAGCAAGTCAATTGTCCTAGCCTGACCTTACATATACAAGATATAGTGGAAAAGCCAGAGAGGAAAAGTATTATTGGAAAAGCCACTCTAAAATCCAGAATCCTATATCAGCTCTACAACCAATAAGTAAATAAGTCTTATGCTTAGAATGACTAAGAAAATATTTATTTTGTGGATAGTTAGTTTTTAAAAGAACAAACATTATGTTCAGATACAATATAAAATCCATCAAGGGTTATCCAAACTATTTTCTAAAAGCATCGTCCGATTGAATATAATAGCTTCTAATTTAACTGCAAGTTGTTTTACAAAATGGAAACACACATTTAGCTCATCATATCTATAGGTCATAGGTCTGGATTGCTTTTTATGTTTCCCCTTTAGTTCTAGCGTTGTGTGCGAAACGTGTTCCATCCATATGACAAATTTAGTATCCAGTCTATTTTAATTTAATAAAAACTCATCATTGTTGGGCCTTCAATTACATTTTATTTTATCTTCTCTCGACCAAACTAAGGTGAGGACACATCGCAATGGAAGAAAATGATTGTGCTGAACAACAACAAGAAGAAGGAGAACGAAAGTGAGGAGGAACTTGAATACGATCCTGCCATGTATCCACAACGCGTGGGCCGTCAGCAGCGCGTGCTGGACATCCAATTCAATTTTAATGACGGACGTCGCGGTGGTGGTGGCTTCGGTGGACGCGGACGTGGCGGACCACGTGGTGGACCGCGCAACGAGGGCAATCGCGGACCAGTGTCGGGTGGTGGTGGTGCTGCCGGTGGCGCCGGTGGTGCCTCCAATATCGAGGGCGGCAGCGGCGCTGCACGTTCCGACGGTGGCAACAGGCCGCCCATTGAGCGTCGTGGTGGTCCAGGCGGTGGCATTGGTGGCGGACATTCCGGCACCAAGCGTTTCGGTGGTGAGCGGCAACAGAATGCGGCACCCAAAGTCAACGATGAGCGTCAATTCCCGACGCTGGCTTAAGCGCAAACATCGATTGCACTCGTCAGGGAAGGAGGATTGGGAGGAGGAATGAGGCATGAGGAACGCGAAGTGCGAATCAAATAAGGGCGGAGAAGGGAGAATAGAACTGTAAGCTGCTGCTGCTGCTACCACTTCTGCTCCGGCAGCATGCCTTACATTTTTTTTAATTGATAGTAGAGTTCGATGTGGCCAAGCCCACAATTGCAATTTATATCATTCACACTCACACACAAAACACACACACACACAGAAACCCACTCAAATACCGCAACAACAAGAACACTAAATTTACAAATGTCGCAGCAGCGCAGTCAAATTTTCAACAAAGAACAACAATTTGAAGAAATACTATTGGCACAACATTTATTGAATAAAAAGGAAGCAAATAAAATTATCACAAATATATGCAAAATTGATTAAACAAATGATGGCGCGCAATGGCAGCATAAATTTACTGCACATATATGCATATGTGCACTACAATAACTGCAAAATTGTAATGTAAATTTATTTTTGTCTTTTACAAATCAAACGATAAATTAAACATTAAAAGAAACAACAAGCGGACCGTCGTAATGAAAACAACAACATAAGAGCAACTGTATTTTACATAAATCGCCAAAGGTCACCACCCAGTGCGAAAACATCACTAACTGGCGGCTAACAGCAACAACAACAAACAGGACTGGCGGACGGACAGACTGACTGACTGACTAGACAGACGCCTCAGCTTCGGCTCTGACTTCTCTCCTACCAACCAACCACAACTCATTTAGAAACGAAAGCAGTTTATAAAACTTTTCATTAAATCATTGCTCATTTATTGTTTTACGTTTTTTTGATATCATGCCACTTTTCTTTAATGTTTATTACTATGTTAAAGTAAAAGAGGAAAACCTATATATTATATATACTGAAGTGAAATTATTTAAAAACAAAAAAATATATAATATTAAAAAACAAACAAAAATTGCAAAACAAGAAACAATTTAGTAGTGGGAAAAATAGTAAGTGTTGAAAAAACTAAATATAAAAACTTGTAATTGTGTTTCTAAACAAAACAAAAAATACATATAAATATATATATATATATACAAAGCGATATATATATATATACACTTATGATGCAAAAAGCAAAAATCTATAAATTTATATATACATATATATATATAAAACAAAACTTTACATATATATTAATTATAAATTTAACAAAAAATGAAAAGCAAGCAAAAAATACGCGTCGTATATAAATTTAATTTTAAAGAAAACAAAACAAATGGCAAAACCCTAACAAATTTTGCTAAACAAACACAGACACACACACACACACACCTAGGACACAACAATATTGATGAAACACTATAAATATAAGCATTATTAAAAACAAATTACTAATAATAAAAAACATAAAAAACTATTGGAGCAAATTTAATAAACCTTATTAAGTAGAATTACAACCGACGACATAAAACAAAACCAGAAACCAACTTAAGTAGAGTTGCCCGCTTACCAAAATAAAAGCAAATATTTTAGTTCAGCAACAACAATAACGTTTATTACAACATTTATGCGATGCCACAAGCCTCTGTAAAATGTATTGCTTTTACAATTCAAAATTGTAAAAGCTGTCTGAAAAGGAAATGCATGCGTACTTGTATATCTTCTATATAATGAATGTAATTATAAAACAAAATGAAAATGGTAATAAAAACGAAAATGAAAACATTATAAAAGGGCAACAAACATTTTATGAGAAAGCAAAACAACAACCACTTAGATGAACAAAAATATGGAAATTTTTTGAATAATATTGTATTGTATTTTGACCCCAAAGAAAGAAACAAAAAACCATACAACAAGTTGAGAAAATCGTTTAAAAAAATACAAATTATTTGATAAAAATAAAGAAAAAACTCAAAAATTCAACTAGAGTTTTATTTTTGACAACAAAATTACTCAAAATGTTAATTTTTTTTTTTTTCATTTTTCACCAATTAAGCAATACATTTATATTAACAAGTAATTATGAATGAATTATGGTGGCGAAAAAGGTTTATGTTGCATTTATTTATATATATAGAGACGCCTTAGTCTAAATTTCCATCTTAATGTAAATAGATTTAGAAAACAAGCATAAAAGGCATAACATTGGAAATGAATGTACAGAGCTTCAGAGATTAAAATATTGAGATGGGTACGTATAGGAACCAACTGCCTGGTTCGTCAGATTTGGAGCCGCAGCCAAGGAAGCAGCAGACGACTAAAATGAGAATGAAGCGCAGAACAGCGAGAGTATACAATTGTACAGACCTTCGGCATTCTATAAAATGCACAAATTTATGGAATTATAGACACAGGTCTCACAATCTCTATTTACGTAATTACCGAAGCCTGAACTGTTTTTTTTTTTTTTTTTTTGCGCTTCTTAGATCTCGATTATAGTAGCAGATGGACCTATTTATATTTAAGAATTTTGACAGTCGTGTTATTTCTTAAGCACTAAGATAATTTAATAGTGTGCTAGAGAGTTTAAAACCCTACCCCAGCAATAAAAGGATATATAGTCCTAAAAGGTAAAATATAGTATGAGTAGTAGAGAAAAGAGAATTATGTTGGTGTAAAGGAACTTGAAGAGTATACAGCTGTTGTTAAAAAGCATGTTTTTTTAACTTTAATTTGAAAAACATTTCAGGTACAGGGTAAAACAAATATAAGACGTGAAATACTTTTAATTACACTATACAAAAAGTATACCAAAGTATCCAAAACGAATATTAAGTTTTTCTTTAAATAAAAATGTGCAAAGCAACCATTCCATACGTCAAAATAACGTTATGAAATGTCATCGGACAGCCAAGCTTTTTTCTTAGCCCTGGTTTGTAATATCGATTGTGATGTCCGTTTTACAAGCATACTAAGACGGCTGGTATCGATAATTTTGTAAATTTATGCTGTCGTAATGTCCCACCTTTTCAAAATTTGCAATCTCTTTGTGTTACAACTCTAATTCGTATATCTGCTAGTTATTGAAAGACAAAGTTGCATGACTAGGCATTTTTCCAACTGACATTTTGTAAAAAAATTTATTTTAGAATTTATTATTTTTTACAGGACAAGGAATCGGAACAGCATACGATGTACGTTTGTCATTTCGTTGCATTTTTCGCATGGGAATCCAAATAAAATACCAATTATTTGATTATTAGCTATGTTTTTCTTATCGCAAATGTTAAGAAAAAAATCTCGTACACATACAGTGTAGGTGGGTCCTAACATATAAATCTGCAGCAACGAACGGCTGCTACAAAGAATGGCAACGCCAATGGACGCGAAGCAAACCGACCAATGACCAGGCGACAAAAGTAGACGGAACGTTAACTTTTGTTCACTGTCCATAGAATTGTGCACATACATATGCATATTTCTACACATGACGTTTAAACACACATGCCTGCACTTAACTTTTTACAACTACGTTATTCTCCCGCTTTGGTTATGACGTGAACGTTGTAAAACGGTAAACAGCGCAAAACACACACGCATGCACTTAAATGCATCATTGATGTTCCGACGCTTCATGAGTATGTTTGGATGTATTTTCATTTTGAAAAACTCTAAGTTACCGATAACTACAAGTAAAATGTATTCGCTAAGCCCACGCTTGTGCGAATTGTTTGCAAATAATTCTGCGAAAGGCTCTCGTACGCACAAGATTACACCGGAGAAACTCACCAACAAAATAAGAAATTTTATTCGTTGATTGAAAATTTTTGGAAAAAAGCACAAATCTTAACTATTTTCAATTATTTTAAGAATCAAAACTTCACTTTTTTTTGCAAATCACCAGGAACACAAAATTATACGTCCGAACGCCTCTATGAGAAACTTTCGAATGCGACATTTGCCAGCAAGCAGATCAGAAAAGTCCTGTTACATACAGGGTTGCCAGTGCTCTTTTTCGTAAGGAAAAAAATGAAGTTCAAGTATTTAGTATTGGAGCCCAATGAGTATCCAAAGTGTTGACAGCCCTATTCGACAAAGTAGGCCGAAGATGCAATAAAGCATGTAGGACAAAAAAACGAAGTGTTAGAAGAAAAAGAAAAGAAAAAGCGCTTGACAACACAATGCCAAAAAACGATGAACTTTAATAAATGTTAATGCAATTTTATTTGTTGTTGTATGGAAAATGTATAATATTCCAAAAAGAAGATCAGTTATGATATGATATTTGACACACACTTCATAATACATAATTTTGCTAGTATAGTAGAGCAACTAAAAGAGTTCACTCACCGTTGAATGTGTAACTTATAGTTTTTGCGGGAGAAATTTGTGAATTAAATTCCTTAGCGGTTTTCGCACAACGTACAAGTTGAAGGAAAATGAAAGAGTGACCGAAGCTAGAAATTTAAATAATGTCGAATTATATTGCTGGAAATACAGTCCCACTAACTCACCACAGAGTAATACAAAACTGAGCCACACGTTTCGCATTAGTAGGTACATAAACCGCATAAGTTGGTGCAGTGTTGCACTCGGCTGGCGACCAACCTACCTGTTGTACATTAGCAAAATTAAAACAGAAATCTGTCCATACTATTTTGTAATTATACCATCAGCTCATCAGTTTAATATTTTCGATAACTATTTAAAATTTGTTGGTGATTGTCGAATAATTGCATTACTCCAATATGTAGCTCGTTTCACTAACACACCTTACCTACCGTAGAAAAGGAACAATACACCACCTATTGGGCACTTTATAAACACTTAGTAGTTACACGAACCCTAGCTATACAGCGTTAGAAACTTGAAATTTAAGAACTTGGCCCACATTTTTTCCATTTTCCTTAAAAGCCATAGAATTATTTATTATTTCACTTGCTGCTTCGGTTTTAATATTTCATGCTACAATTTACAACTATGTGCTTATTGTTGTTTACTTAGGTTTTACAAAAAACGTTCTGCTTATTTAATTATTAAATGTATGTTATATGTGTGTGTGTTTGTGTGTATGTGTAGACTTAATAATGCTTGCTTGCGTTTTGCTTATCAGTTCAATATTCTCCGTAGATATATCTAATATATGTATGTATGTGTATGTTGATTTCCTGATGTTTTATGTTTTTAGGCTTCATGTTGATTAGCGTTGTTAATTATTTGTTTTCTGTTTTTGTAGTTTTTTTTGTTGTGGCATGATTTATGACTTATTTGCTTACAATTTTCCAATGCTGATGCTGATCTTGTGGTTGTTGTTGTTGTTGTATAAAATATAAAATGCATATCAAATTGTTTATGTTGCTTACATTGTTTATGTTTTATGCTTTAGTTTCGCGCTTATTTATATTATTAATTATTTTTAAATGTTAACATATGTGTATGTATTTATGAATTATGTTCGCCAATATGGCTCGCGAATTGTTGCATAAATATATATCTATATGTATATATAATTGTATATGTAAGTTTTGTATTTATGTTACTTATTATTGTTATTGTTGTGGTTTTTGTTTTTCGCGTTTATGCTCTGCTTTTGCATAAGTAGCTTGATTTCTAAATAATGTTTGTTGTAAAAATTTGACTAAAACAAAAAACAAAAACGCGCGCACAGCAAACTATATAAACAATTGCCAAACACTTTAAAAAAACAGCAATTAATTGGTAAACGTAAACATAACATAATCGTACACAATAATAATAATATTAATAATATTAATAATCATAATAATAATAATAATTATGATGATAATTGCTTTGTTATAAAACAAATCTCATCAACTACTCCGTTTTTTTTCTTCTATATAATACTTTTGGCATTTAAAAAAACATTCTTGTTTTGTTTTTGCTTCAGCCCTAACCTCAAATTGCCCGCGATTTGTAAAAAGTAAAAACTAATTTCAGTTAGAATTTTGGAACAGTCTTGGTGCTTAGAGCCCGAGCCTGAGCCTGAGCCCGCGCCCATCTACAACGCCTTCGCAAACTGGATGACAGAGCTCATGCGCATGTGTTTGGAGTTGTTGCTGTTGTTGTTGTTCGCCGGCCCTCCAGCGGCATCTGGGCCCGCAATCGTTGTTGTTGTTGCATTTGTTGTGACGCCGCCCGGTCCGGCACCACCGCTGCCCGTCTCCACACCCGTCGTCCCATTCCTGCTCGTGTCGCCCTCGTTCATATAATGCTTTCGTTTTCGCAACGGCAAGGTCATGACATTGCGATCGGCCATCATCAGGGAGTCGCTCTCGGGCGAGGACGAACGCTCGGGGGATTCGGTGCTGGACCGGAGACCAATGGCCGCCTCAACACGACGCACAATATCGTGGTTGACCAGGGAAGATCTGTAAGCAATGAAGAAGGGAAGATTTGTTTAGTCAAGCGGAGAAAATAGAACTAAACTACTAGACTTATTAGAAAACTTAGAAAATCCTTTAAAAAAAATAGCAATTCAGGGTTAGTAGAATCGTCTTTGGAAACAGAACAGTCTGAAACATTTGAAATTCATTTTAAATCCCATCCTTTAACGTTGATTTGGAAACTCGGGGTTCTTCTTTTGGCTAAGATATGTTTTTGAATAAACCACTAGCTATATCCTATTATTCGTATTTCAACCGATGCTTTTTAAATCAATTTTTTAATATTTGTAAGACTATTATTAATGATATTGTGGATCTAATAACTGGCTGCTCCCATTTGCGAATTCGATTGAATTTTGCGAAACGTAAATTGAAAAAAAAGATTGAATTTTATTTTCTTGCAGTTCCAAAATTCCAATCGTTGGCTATATTTGTGATTTCCGATTCCGCATAATGTCTTCGAATTTGAAAACGGAAACCTGAACAGAGCTGCTCCAATTTTGAAGTAAAATATATATAATATTATATAAAATATAAACTATAGCCTTTCTGATTCAAACGAGCAAAAAATCGTTAGCTGTATTTGTGATTTCTCTAGCGATTTCTTCCCAGACATATTTCTAATGTTCTATATATTTCTGTTTGAATACAATATCTGATAATCTGAACAAATACGAAGCAACGCACTAAGTTGAAAGCTATTTAGCTATAAGTTGTAGACCTTCTGCTTCAGAAGCTTTTGCAGTTCATACTGTCGAACAGACTTTCTTCTCTACCTATTCCCAAGAACTTAGTAATTCGCTAAACTTTTTCGAAAATAGTTGGGTTTTGATATTTTGTAACACTTACTCATATTTGGGGACCGGTGCGTAGCCCTTGTGGAGACCATGGCGTGCCAATTCGCCGCGTTTGAAATGCTTGATGAGCTCCGTGGCCTCGTGCTGATCATCATAGTTGGCCGCCTCATCGCTGACATGTAGTGTGGGCGGTTCCAGGGCGGGCTGGGTAGTTGCTGTCGTTGTTGTTGTTGTTGTCACCTCCTCCTTTGGAATTGTGGGCGTGGAAGCTGTGGGTGGGGGCGTGGCAGCATGTCCACGACGCAGCTGCATCATCTGCCAAGCAGCCACCTGCACATCCTCATCCTCGTTGTTCGTTTGATGCTCGTCATGATCCCGACGCGCCAAATTTGCAGCCTCGAGCAGAACAGGATTGATGGTCAAGGGAGCTGCCAGGGGTGGCTGTTCTGGCTTCTGTTGTGGGGGTATGGCATAGGTTCTGTAGGGAACAGAAGCCGGATAGTACGGTGCGATCGGATAAAGCTGCTGCTGTTGCTGTTGCTGCTGCATGCTCAGATCCGTGGGCATATCCTCGTCTGCGTAGACGATGGCTGGTGGCTGGCCGCTGGATACGCCGCTGTCGCGACTGTGCGCATCGGCTTGAACCACATATTGCAAGACGGCGGCTGAGGGTGGCGGCGGCGACGAGAGCGTCGATCCACAGCCGGGCGAGCCAAGGGAGGCGCGGGAAGCCAAACTGGAGCTGGATGGTGAGTAGGTGGAGCTGGGCGAACCAGGAGATGAATGCTGCAGTGCGGCCGCCGTAGCTGCTGCTGCTTTGGCACCTCTTGGTTGGCGCGGCTTTTTGGGCCGACCCGTTGCCATGGGAGCGGTAACCAGCTCGCTGGGCGGCGAACTGGGCGGAGAATTGTGGCTGCTGCTTTCCGAAGAAGTTGTGGGCAAGGCGGAGTCGCCTCCAGTGGCTACGGACGCTGCTGCCTCCACCTCGTCGTCGGGCAGCTCGTTGGCATGCCCCTTGATGTGCGCCTCCATTTCCTTCTTGTTCTTGAACGTCTCATCGCAAATGGTGCACTTGTAGCACTTGGCCCCATAATGCTGCACCCGATGCAGCTTGAGGACGTGGTTGTAGCCGAAGTCGCGGAAGCAGATGTCACAGTGATACGGTTTCTCGCCCGTGTGCGTCCTAGAGTGCACCTTCAGCTGCTTGGAGCAGGTGAAGCCCTTGCCGCAGCCCTCGACAGGGCACTTGTAGGGCTTCTCGCCCGTATGGGTGCGCATGTGGATGACCAGCTGGCCAGATTGGATGAAAGTCTTCTGGCACACGGAGCACTTGTGCGGACGCTCGCCCGTATGGATGCGCATGTGCCGGTGCAGCTTGCCCGAATGCTCAAAGGCCCGACCGCACACGTCACACTTGTAGGGTCGCTCCTTGGTGTGGATGCGTCGATGCACCTGCAGGTTCTCCTTTACGCTGAACAGCTTGTGGCAGAATTCGCACTCGAAGGGACGCTCGCCGGTGTGTGTGCGATAATGGCGGATCTGTTAAGCGAATGGGGAATATCAGGAATTAGTGATATGGCTAGAGATGGACAGCGAACGAGTTATATTCGAGAGAGAGAGATAGAGAGAAATTATAAATGGAACTTACCAGACGTGCCGGCACCGCAAAGGTCTTTTGGCACACATTGCACTGATAGGGATCCGCGCCGGCGGCCACATTCGCCAGCGGCTTGATGGGCGGACTCTTTGGTATGCCCAGCGGCAGACCCGCCTCGTTCAGTTCGATGGCCGTGGTGGAGGAGTTGTTGGCCCCCAGATCGGCATTCTTGGCGTGCGATTTGGTGTGTGAGGTGTGAGCAGATTTGCTGCCAAAGATCATGCCACACTGCTCGCACTTGAATTGCGGCTTATTGGGATTGGGTTTGCGGGCCAAGGAGGTGGAAGCGGTGTTGGCAACAGGAGCGGGAGCGGGAGCGGAAGCAACGGATGCGGAGCTAGCAGCAATGGCTCCTTTGTTAGCTGCATGGCTGGTTGGTGTTCCCAATGTTTCTGTGATCGCGTAGCTGGTGGCTGTAAACTCATAGGGCAGCAGCTCCCCTTTAATGCGTGGCGTGTGCATTGTTGCAATATTTTGCAGTTGTTGTTGTTGTTGCTGCTGCTGCTGTTGCAGCTGAAAGCCCGTTAATTGCACATGTTGTTGTTGCTGCTGTTGTTGCTGCTGCTGCTGCTGCTGTTGCTGCTGTTGCAACTGCAATTGTCGCTGCTGAGGCGTCTGCAACAACTCGTATTGCTCATGCTGCACGGCAGATGGCGCCATACCGCCCCCGCTGCTACTCGCCGCCATTAGCAATGGCGTTGCCTGCAGCGCATTGCAGAAATCCGTTTGACTAGGTTGCTCCGTCTTTATGGGCAGCTGATTTGCGGGATGATAGTAAACCATATTGGTTGTTGATGAATCTGTAAAGTAGGCATACAAGTTGTGGTTTAAATAAACTTTATCGTTTATAAAAAGCTATCATCAATTATCTATTATGTTGCTCAAGGAGCTAGCAAGAATCCCACAATGTTGGCAAAGCTATCATAAAATTGAATAATTGTCCAAACTAGGACAGATCTTAAATAAAGATTAAAGATTTAAAATAAAAAAAAAACCCCTATTATTTGCATTTCTCAAACACTGTTTTGTTGCTCTTTAAATGTAGAAACTGAAACAGTCACCTAATCGACTATTTATTCAATAAAATAAACGTTATTTAACTGCTCAACTACCTGTAAAAAGGTTTCGAACATCAACATTATATTTCTTTTAGAATAAATCCGTTTTTTTAAATTTGTTTTTTGTTTTTGTTTTAGACACATTCAATTTTGTTTTCCGAAATACTGGCATTTCAAATAATTAAAGTTTTTATTCCATTTTAAAAATAAGCTGCTCATAATAAATAAATGTTCAACAAAAATTAGTAATTTTTTGAAAGAATTATGTATCTACATATTTGTTAAATTATCTGCTTAAATAAATCCCATTTAAACCCACTTAAGGAAACGGTTGCTAACGTTTACTTGCACGGGTTATTTCCGATTTATATAGTTCAGTTAAAAATATATATTCATATTTCAAAAATTAAATAGCAATTAATATAAGTTGCTGAAATTAATCATTTATATCTCCTCCATTTATAAGTTCTTTCTATGCACAAATGTATAAAAATTAAATACAAGTAGAATATTATTGCATATTATTGCTTAAAAGAAAAGCAGTGCCCGATATAATTAGTGTTACAAATTGCTGTTTAAATGCTGTTAATTATTTAATAATAAATTCCAATTGTGGCTCAAAATTCGATCGTCTTCCTATCAAATTATTCATTATTCAGCAAACAATATACGATGTTTATCTTTTTTTCGATAAACTGCGACTGTTGTAACATTTTCAGAATAAACCTTGAAGTGCACAACTAACCCCCTTCCCCCTCCCCATCATAGTGGAAAAACAGAGAGAACTTAACAACCTGCATTACGAGTTTCCTCAAAGTGCGTTCAATACTAGAAATAATAAGTGTGTGAATATTACGACGCAAAAGCCCGGAAAAGAGAGCGAAAGTAAGCGGGGGGTGGGGGGTGGGATTGGGAAGGGGCTAACAAAAACCCACCCTACTACGCAGTTTTTCCCACAATGTTTATTGCCGGCCGCCGCTGTTTTCCAACTGAGCTTTCATTTCTGGGGGAAGGTGCGGAGCGCGAGAGCGAAGAAGTGAGAGTTTCTATATAAATATATATAGGGTTGGGCAAGGCAAGACGGGGGGAGGGGGCGTCAAATGGGGAGTTACTACGAATTAGAGACATCATTTATGCTCTTACAACTCCAACAGAAAAAGTGAAGAAAATTCCCTTCGACGCGGAAAAGCTTTGAATAAGCGGCCGGCGTTTTCTTGCTTGTTTTGACAGAAATTTTCAATAGGCTGGAAAAACAAACTCTGTATACCCAAAACAAAATGGCGCAAGCTCTATGCACGGCGGAGGCGGAGTTGGGGAAATCAAGCAAGAAAACTTCTTGAATTTTCCGATATAATACTAATATTACCTTTTGCATTTGCTTTCTTTGCCTGATTCTTGGCATTGTGTTGTTTTTGTAATTTCGATTTGGATATATCCACCAGTTCGGTGCCCGATTTCGACAGCACATCCTTGATCCAATTTTGTTTGGTTGCCCAATTTTTCGTCTCTTTATTACGTTCAGTCATAGTTGAGGGTTTGTTTTTTATTTTATTTATTGTGTAAAGTTTTTTCTTCAGCTTTTTGATTTATGCAGTCTATGTTTTATAATAGAAGTCTACGTATTTCTTTTTAGTCCATGTTACGATTGATTTTCGACAGTCTTTCAAGTGATGTGAAAACTATTTGGTTTTTGGTTTTGAGAGATCTTTAAATGGGAACATATTTTTCTTTTATTTACATTTGTACTTTTTAGGGAAACCACACGACGTATTCATATTATATTTATAGTGCTTTTTAAATCAGTCTATGGGTGGATATATATTCAGCCATTTGGTCTCATAAAAATATTAAATAAATTGACAGTTGCATTATTTTGTAATATTTTAGTTGTTATTTTTGTTCAGACGACGATTTTCATTTTTCGCGTTATTTTCTGCTTGATAACATTCTTTTTGATAATCTTGATGATTTTTTTCAAGTCTTTCGTTTGCTGCGCCACCGGCTGATAGTCTTGTTGCAATTGTTGTTGCAATAGCTGCTGATAGTTAAGCAGATTTTGGGGGGGTTGGCGTTGCGTCTGATGGAGACTAGACGGAGTGCTGTGCTGACTCGAGGTCTTGTTCATGCGCATCTTTCTAAATGATCTCAAGATATCGTTCATTAGGAAATCGGTCATTGTAAAGCGCTGCATTGAACACGCACAAGCACACTCCAACACTCACACCCTCACAAGAAGTTTTATACACACACACACACGCACTCATTCACATATCTTTCGGATTGGAGGCGCACCGCACGCCGCTAGTTCTTTCACGTTTGATGGTGTGCCGGAGACTGGTGGGTGCGTTGCCGAAAAATATGCTGCGAACCCAAACCCGAACCCAAACCAACTCGAAATCAACCACCACCACCAAACAAACAAACCATAGGCTGTGGGCATACATAGGCCCATTGATCTGTGGCATGAACAAAAATTTCCCAAGTGCGTGCCGCTCATTGAATTGGAAAAGCGGGCGTACAAGTTTTCCATGCTGTGCATGGCATAGAGTGAGCGCGTTTTGGGTTGGGGCAGTATTTGAGTGGTTTGGGTTGTGTTGAGTTAGGGGAAATTTTGGGGGAATTTTTTAAAACGGTATCATTTTTGTTCAATTCGACAATTTTACGAACTTTGAAAGCCCAATATTTGAGCTGAGCATATTTTGAGTAGTTTTTCAAAAGGGATATTTCTTTGGGAAATTTTGTATAAGCACTCAGTTTTGAAAAACTTTTAGCATTCAAACCTGCACAGTTGGCATGAGTCATGCGTTTAAAATGGGGGGCGTATTTCTTCTTATCAATTGGAGAGAAACTATGCCCAGAAACCACTGTCGAACTGTGTTTCTGAATTGTTTTTAACTGAATCATGCTGAGGTAAGCGAAATATATTTATAGCTCTATAAACAAATCACAGAAACGTTCAGCAAATAAATTAAAATGACAATTTATAACAATAAAATTTAAAAAAAAAACTGCTAATGTTTGTGGCTCATCATGTGATGACTGCTTCATGTACACACAAATACTTAGCAACTGATCACACGACTTGTCGATAAGAATTTGCGTGCCTTGCACAACATTATTTTGGGTGTGTGGACTAATTGAAAAAAAATTGGCACCAAATTTTAGATTACTTCAACATTAACTTTGACCAGAGCTGATAAATGGTATATTTTAAGTACTGATAAAGTTATAATTTATGGAATGGCGTAAGTCAATAGAGAAATTTCTGGATCGTAGTTAAGGTTCCTGGTAAATCGCTCAATATTCGTTTCTATCGTTCTGTCATTAATACCTATAAAAAGATAGCAGTTTTTTCATCACCAAATGATCACTTTCCCCTTGGATTACAGATCCTCCAAGCCGACAACAAATAAAGTCATTAGCCCACCTTTGACAAATATGTACCAAAAAAGAAAGAACTCAAAGAAATATATAAAAAGTTTACTGAGCGCGCAAACAAGACTAGAAATACATACATACATATGTATGTACATATGTAGCTGCAAGTTCAAAAAACTTTTTCGGTTGCTTCCACGCTTTTGTTAACACTATGGCCCAACGAGAATACATACATACGTACATAAGTTTGTACATACATACATATGTGTGTGTGTATTTATGTATGCGAGTGTGTGCGCAATACATTAAACTAGCGCAAAAGTTCATTAACATTCGACACAAAAACTATTTTCGTGCGCGCTCTCATACGCTCTCGCACTGCCACTCGCTCACTCTCCTGGTCTCTCTCTCTCTCTTGATGTTGATCGCTGCTGCGTGGATTGCTCGGTCCACAAAAGTAAGCTCGACTTTTTGAAGGTAAAGGCATAAAATAACAGACGGAAAACAAATTAAAAAACAACAACAACAACAAAATATGCTATTTATCTATTATGAGGTTAAAAGCACGCAGCAGACGCACAAGGCGGTCGGTCAATGATCGCAGCATGGCAACAGCAACAACAACTACAACGACGGCCCAAAAAGCGACTGAGAACTCCCGTCCCTTACAATATTGACCGAGTCGCTGCCAACATGTTTATTGTTCTCTTTTCGAAACACAGCACGCTTTTACCGTTATTTTGTTGGGATAGCTCAGAAACTGAGCGCAGCGGCTTGACGCTAATTTCGGGGCTCAAAGTGGAGTGGGTGAGGCTGACGTCTGATAAATGTTGGTGTTGAACGGATGGATCAGTTCCATGATTATAGAAAGCTACCGTGGCTTAAAAAGACAGTTCTATCGCTAAACTAGGGTGTGAGCTAATCTTTAAAATATAACAAAAGCGTTACTTGGTTTTAAGACTTCTTTTAAAGCTAATAACAATAAGTATTTGATTGATTTTTTATCTTGAACTCAATGTTATTATTCTATAGAGCACCTTATGTAGGAAATTAGGGTCTACTACCCAATTTTCGTGCTGTGATTACTAAATATTGTATGATTGTACTTTATCTACTCACAATATTGATAATGTGCGATTTTTCAAGAAATTAAAAAGGAAATTAGAACTAGAGCTGGGTAATAATTTATTTATTTAATGAGTAGTTGGTTAACATAGAACAGAACTAGGTATACTTTCATATATGTACATAATAAATACATATAGAATACTGGAAAACTTTCAAAATGTATTACCTACTGCTGAAAAGTTTTATGCTTCACAGATGATTCTATTAAAGTTAATCTATATTTTACACTTATTTCGAATTATTTAAAAAAAAAAATGCTTTAAATAAGTTCGCTCGCTTCAAGCACTAATGGAATACACAGCCAGTGGGATGGAATCATATGTATGTATGTACGAGTATGTATATATTTAGTATTACATACATATGTACATATGTATGTAGCTATCATACAGACAACACACCTTTTTCCAAACATACGCAGACAACAAACTCAGACTATCTGAACACATGTACGTCTAAGGGTCAATGAACATTTAAATAAGCAAAATGGAAGCTTTTTTGACATGGCCATGTTGTATTTTTGTTGGTTTTTAGTATTTTTGATTATGTTTCCATGCGTATCTATTACAACAAGCTGACATACATATCTATGTACATATGTACATACATATGAATGAGAACGTTTGAATTTGTTGCTTTCAGTATCTGTATTTTATGGTTAATTTCCCTAGCTAGCGATAAGATAGAAGCGCTCTCATAAATTGTTGTTTTTTACATGCGAAATAGGAAAAATACTCAATGAAATATTGTTGGGAAGGAAACTAGGAAAACAACACGACAAACGATAAGATTCTCAAGTACAAAACAAATTGTTTCATTGATACCGAATGTGAATGATTGTATGTATTTACGTACATATGTATGTATATATACATATGAACATAAACAATTTGGGTTTTTTCTTCTTTTCAAATCATGTCATTGTTGTTTAGTTTTATGAGCAATTTCTACAACTTTTAATTAAATTACTCTTCTAAAAGTCTATTATATACAACATTCCCTCATGAATGAAATACAAATGTATCTAAACAAGCTAAAACATCATACATATAACAGTTGTTTGAAACCCTCAATTGCGTAGCTTGTGTAGGCAGCGACTGAGGTGCGCCGGCGTTGGCAGCGCAGCCAGCGCTAGCTAGACATCAACTACACGCACTTTTATGCGTGCGCGGGCATGGAAACAAAAAAAAACAACAACGACGCAACTGAGAAAAGTAACGAATTTTACTACATGGCGGTTAGCCTAGGTCATCAAAAATGACGACAACGAGACGAGAAACGAATGGCGGCAAAAGCTCAGCAAGTGAGCGAGGAAGCGAGATACAAACCATTGCCGTTCGATACTGAGCTGAGCGGCGTATTGCATGTTGTTGTTGTTGCTGTTTGATAGCGCGTGTAAATAAAATAATGGAAATAACAGCATGACTTTTAGAAAATAGAAAATATGACGTAATTTGTTATTGCATTAGCAGAATGATCTACATACATACATATGTATGTACATATGTATGTATGTATAATATTGCATTACCTTGTGAAATTATTGATTAATAACAATTCATCTACATATGTATGTATGTATGTATATGGGAAACTAATATTTGTTGATGGAATTGTTGGTATGTTTATGTTTAGGTTATGTTGACTTTTTACGTTATGTGCACATAAAACTATCCTTGGAAAAACATTTTCACTTTCGTGCAGATTTTTTTGTTTGCATACAAAATGGCGCACATTCACGAACAACTTCCCTTTCATTTGTCAACAGCATAAAATACGCTCATGCCTGTGTAAGTATACTTACATATGTATGTACATACATGCATATGTGTGTATGTATTTGCAAGTAAAGAGGCTAAATAAAAGCACAAGCGCAAAGTTGCAGTCAAACACGCGCATTGCCTTTTTTCTCGTTGTCAGGCTGTTGAAAACTCGTGCACTACCTCCTTATGGGGCACACGTATATATTCATGCAATGCGCATGTTGAAAACTGCTGCACAGCCTCCACGTGTAGTTCAAGTTCATGATACAAAACGAGCGAGAGCCGACGAACACAATGGGCGAGTGTGAGTGCGAGAGAACGACGCTTCGCCTCGGCCTTTTGTATTCTGCTGGCGTTGACTGAGCCGATAGCAGCGACGCTCACTGCAATTTGCCTTTGTTGAGTGTATGTATGACGACTGACTCTATGTGTATGTATGCGTACTTGTGGGTTTTGCATTTAGTGCGAGGTAATTTACAAAAATTATTTGCATTGCATTAATATTTTTCATTGGTAGAACGCGTTTGTTTGTGTTTTCTTTTTGGCTTAGGTAACAACTATGACAAATTCATGATTCAATAATTGTTAAACTGCAATCCTAGTGCATTTTGTAAGTAATTCACTTAAATTTCGTATCGTTCCCTCCCCAACCAACAATGAAGAAAGACGCTTAACTCAGCGGTTTGCTAGCAAACGGCGACGCTGACGCCGCGGCGTCCGACGACGAAAACAACAACAACAAAGCAGCAACCTCATTTGCCATCCAAGAGGGTCAATGAACGCAACGCCAAAAAAAGCTCATTTACGATGACGGCTTCTGTTGTTGTTGTTCTTGTTTCTTGTTGTAGCCGCTGAATAAAGTAAAGAGAAGAAATCGAAAAGCAAAGAAACCCGAAAATTTCAGCTG